ATACATATATAGAGAGATATATATATATATATATATATATACATATATATATAGATATATATATATATATATATATATATATATATATATATATATGAGGGGGTTTTTTTATAGAGCGCTATATATATATATATATATATATATATATATATATATATATATATATATATATATATATATATATATATATATATATAGTATTTAAGAACTTGCAATGATCGTCGAGTAGTGAAGATTATTTCTCCGAACGAGATCTCTTCAAATTCTGCGTTCGACTTTTCGGAAGGGCTATACTAGACAAAGCTTGAATAATGCGTTTCATCTTTTCAAACGAGCCTTCGCTCGAGAAAACCCTGTTTTAGTGTTCGGATCTTTTTCGGTAATGCTTCGGTGTGTGGAATTCCGATCTTTCAGTTCAACCAAAAAAAAAAGACAATAAAATCATGTTTTCGTAACAGATGAATATGGACAAATACATGAATCGTAATTTTAGGTAATTTTAGGGTTTATGTGCTGCTTTTTTATGTGCCGCAAAGTTATTAAAATATTAACAATTATCTCAAACTTTATTCGCAATCACCAATTTTTGTTATTTCGAAAGTTCATTCAAGACTTATTCGAACTATTACTCAACAGAAAATAAGAGCTTTGGTTTCGACTCGTCGTCACGCGTGCGCCGGAAAATGTGAGGATTCGTCTTAGATGGTTAAGTGAGTCAAAATAAATTACGAGTTTGAGTGTGCCCGTGCAATTTATTTTTTGTTAATTATTTGATAACATGATTAATATACTAATGAAATAAGTAAAACTCTTAGAAGTACCAAAACACAAAAATCTGTCAATTTTCCTGAGTGCAGTTGACAGACTCTAGAAAACTGAGCATAACTGAACAAAAACTCATCACTCCGACATACTAATGCATATAAATCCAAGAAAAAAAGCTCAAGTAAATATCAAACCGAACTGCTTATTAACTTTAATCTACGCAACAACTTGTGGGGATCGGATCGTAAAGTAGAGAGCTTACGTAACGAGTAATCGTCTTTGTCTTGACAGCTGGAAAACACAGACTATTCCGATACGGAACGAGTCTACATAGATCCATACCGCAATCTGCAATAATTTTCTCAACCGTCTTTTCGGAAGGGCTATAGTACAATCCGAAGCTTGTGCAAAATAACCCGATTAAAATCTTATTTCCGACAAAATGTAGGAATTTAATAGACCTAACGGGATCCGTCGGCACATTCTCAATGGCAACAAACGCCTCCCAATCGTTAGAATTCTTTTCCTTTATCCAGATTCGAATTCCTCTCTCGTCGTCTCCAGTATTGTTGCAGTACAAACACAGGCGGCCCCTCAAACGACCGAGGCTAAATTCGTCATAATCTCCCAGCTGTTCGGGCTTCCGCAACGCCTCGAGCTCGTCTGTTTCGGGATCGAAACGCGCCATTTCGAAACAAAAGAGCCAATAGAGAGCTCCGTCAGCGAATACTCCCGACCAGCCAACGGAATCGTAGCTTCGACTCTCTTCCACTTCCGTCCAGGAATCGCTATTACACGAAAAGATTGAGTAAGAACTCCGTTTCATGACAACGACCTTGAAATCATCCGTTATCGGATCGTAACACAACCCGTAGTTCACTGTAGAACCGTACGGGTCATTGAAACACCTCACTCTCCGAGTCGACGGATTCCACAGCACGTAATTACTGGTGTTGTTTACGCCGCCCGACGAGTCCCTCAAGAGTAGCACGCCGTTACATTCGCATAAAATTACCATGTTGCCACTAGGGTTTTCCGATACTCGATCGGCGTGGAGTTTTCCACCTTCCAATTTAAACAAAGAAAACCCTCTTTCAGTATCTCCTTTTTCAGTTATGAAGAGATTATCGTTATTATTGGGGGAGTTGTTCGAGTTTTCGAGATGAATACGGGTAAATACGGGATCGGAGATTATAGTATTCCATGACGTACAAACTGTTTTGAATCGAAGCAGAGACTTAACCGGTAATTTTAACAGCACAATTTCGATTATCTCCGGTGGGAGATTATTTGAGTATTCCATGACAGCACAAACTGTCTTCTCTTCGGCCATGTCTATTCTCAATTTAGAGTTTCAAAGGAGGGCAGCATAATTTAACCTAATTGACT